TGGTAAGTGTTTCAATACTACCACGTGTTTCGTGGTTTCATTAAGATATATATATATATATATATATATATATATATATATATATATATATTATATATATATATATATATAGGAAAAAACACCTGACTGCTTCCATGTGCTTACACAACAACCACTTGGGGGGGGGGGAATAATGTTGCTCTAGGTCTTTCTGCACTTGCAAACACTTCTTCAGGAGCAGAGCAATGACAAGAATGAAATTGAAGAGTGCACCAGGGTGAATGACGGACATATATACAATTATTATTGTATTATTATTATTATTATTATTATTATTATTATTATTATTATTATTATTATATTATTATTTTCGCTGTAGATGACAAGGGCAGGTCCCAGGCCACTACGATGTTCTGTCCTGGGTACACTTAATGGTCCGTGGCTCACTCAGCCTGGCTGTGGTGGCCCCGTCTTGGAAATATTTACGTCTGAGAGTATAAAAGCGAGGGAGAGAGGGAGGGTGTTTCAAAGCTAGTACATTACCCTCTTTCCTTCTCATTTTTTTTACTCTCCTATTCCTTTATTTATTTATTTTTTTTTGTCTTTTCTTCCCTCTATTTCACCTGCCTCTCCTCCCCATCTGTTTTATTGTTTATATCTCGTTAAAAAAAATCAAAGGACTTCCCGAAGATTGATATATTCATGTATGTGTCTGTGTTTGTCTGCCAATACACACACATATATATACACGTACACATAAAGCTTGTGTGAATTTTGTCGTCAATATTTTGGAGTAGTCAGCTTTGTTTGATGAACTCTGCCAAAAACATGACACATATACTGTCTTATATATTGCAAATATTTCTTTCAGTCTGTCATATAACACGGTATCAAAGCTCTTTGTACTCTGCCCTCCTCCATCTATTCTTTTTCTTCCTATTCCTCATCTTCTTCCTCCTCTTCTTCCTCCTCCTCGTACGTGTTCACCCTCGGGTCTCTTCATTTCATTTTTGTTATTTTCTGTGTGTGTGAGTCAATCTTCGCCGTGAAATGCCTCAGGAAATGCTTCACATAATTATTGGCTTTATCACAGTGGTGTAGTGGCGCAGGTTGCGTGCTGGAGCTTGGTGTGGGCTGTCTTGTGATTCTGGTTGTGGTGGTGGTGATGGAGGTTGGAATTGTGGTGGTGGTGGGGTACGTCTAGCTCCTTGTTGTTGGGGGTATATAGGGTCACCACAGCTTACGTCGTATTGGGCCCTGATTCCCTGTGTAGTAACACTGGTTGGTTGCTCGGGGTTGCGGGTTGATTTGCGATGGCGGTGGTTATGAGGTTGTGATGGTGGTTGTGGGGGATGGTTGTTGGGAGCTGATTTTTGGTGGTGGTTGGCTGGCTAGCTTTTTTTCTTTGGTATCCTGTCCTCTCCCTGTGACCCACAAGTAAGTTTAAGTACAGGTACACATAAATAATTTACACAGATTATCATACATAAATAACGTATTCAATAAGATCACAGTGAACAGGTGGCATCACAGTATAGAAAACAACCATTGTGAAAGGAATAGTGAACCTCCAAGCGCTTTCGTGGTTTTTCACATTATCACAGATGATCTGAGAAATCACGAAAGCACATGGACTCTCACTATTCTTTTCACAGTGGTTGGTTTGCATAAGTAACATACGTGTAAATTACTTAGAATAAAAAAGTCAGTGATTTATTTCCATTAGGGTCGTTAAGCTAACTTTACTAACTCCTAAATATTTTTCTAATGCTAGGTTGGCAGGATCAACAGCTGAAAGAACGAATCCATAGGTCCGATCCCACCCGGGAATCGAACCTGGGTTCTTTCTTTTGTAAGTATTGTGGCGGAGGGGGGTGTAGCGTGGCGTGTGGTGGTGTTGGCGTGTACCCAGGTGTAGGCTGCTGGTGCCATTTCGTCTCCCCTCTCCAGTGTATCACCACAAGCGGATTTCCCCTCTGAGTCATCTCTTCTTTTCCCCTCTTCCACCCCACCCCCTCGATCACCCTCTTCCCCCACCACAACACCTGGTTTGTCGCGGTACCACGAGGGCCGTAAGGGTAGGGGGGAGTGTAAGAGAGTAAATGCGAGAGCAGTGAGAGAGAAGGAAGTAATGGAATACAGATCATAAAGAAGGTTTCACTAAGGGGTAAGAGGAGGTAATTTTAGCTATGTTGGGGCTTGGGGTTGGAGGCTTGATCTTCGGGAAGGAGGGGAGTGGGAGCAGAGGATTTTCAGAGGGAGGGAGGGAGGAAGGAAGGGGATCATCTTCGGAGGAAAGGAGAGCGGAAAGGGTTGATCTGCATCAACAGCAACTTCAACCAGAACACTCTCTAATATTTAGAAATGAACCTCTTGCCTACCTACCTGGAGGGTGTTCCAGGGGTTAACGCCCCTGCCCTGGTCGAAGACCTGATCAACCAGGTTGTTACTGCTGGCCGCAGACTCTTGGGAATCAGTGTGACCTGATTCTCATCCAGCTACGTTTCTTGCTCGTCAGGTCACTGCCACTCACTACTATGTATCTGCTAACCAGGTTTATGCTTGTGATTTCAAAACCTCGGCAACAAAGCTACCATGTAACTGCTACCATGTAACTGCTACCATGTAACTGCTACCATGTAACTGCTACCATGTAACTGCTCATCTGCTTGCCATTATGTCAGTATTAAAAAAATTAAATATGCCCATGAGGTTTTGTGGCAGCTTTGACGAGATTTGTGGTGAAAAACCTCTCTTGGGAGGTTCCTTGATGCTAGTGAGGGGCTCTTGATCTAGGGAATTGGACATGTGTTCCAGTTCTTTAAGTCCGAATGACTTCGATTCCCCAAGGGAGAGCTGTATATAACCTCCTAGGGGTTTAGCGTTCCCCCATGAATGTAATCATAATTGTGGTGAGAATTTGACTCGCTAAATCGTAATGACACGATTGCAAACAAACCATACCACGGATGGGGATAGAACTCGCGGGTTCTATCCCCGCCCATGGTATGGTTTGGTGAGAATTTCATAGTTTAGACAGCTTGGTGTCGGGCGGCACCAACCTAGAAATGCTAGAAGGTAGAAATAGTGTCAACACAGTGCGCGTGTTGGATGTTCTGAGTCGGCAATAATAATAATCTTTGGGAAAATCTACAACAGTTTTACATTCAGTGGCTCTGAGGACACTGGTATTTTAGGCATATAGCAGTGGTACATCTCTAAATTTATCCCTCAGGGCAGATTCCTTGATGTCGACGAAGGAGTCTGTTCCTGTCCTCCTTGAATCGATCCTGAATGCCTCCTATTTCCCAGGCGCTGTATAACCATGCGGATCCATCTTGAGGAAGTCACTTGGCGCAGGACAACGGTGTAGTTGGGCTTATGGTCGGGATGTAGCTTGCGTTGCTAAATACTGTGGTGTCTACTAACATTAGTCTTTGCTATATGATAATTCGTGTCGGTGTCGTTGATCCAGTGGCAGGGAAGAAAAAAAGATGCAACAGCCTTGCACCTCTGTAGACTGTGATGTCTACTAACACACATTAGAGCTGATTTACCAAGCAGACTCAATGGTGTGAATAGGATCTGATGTCCCTCATTTCTGAAGACTTAAGGCGGCCAGCTGGAGATGGTGTGTGGTGCATGTGATAAGGGTGTGTAGAAACCACGCCTCGCCTTCCCTCCCTATGCTTCCCATGAGTTACCCTGATGGATAGTGGGGGGAGGAGAGGTGGAGTGCCAGGCTGCCAGCGTGCCTGCCAGTTTTGATCGGGAAGCCACAGTGTGTAGTGCATTCACTTGAGAGCTGCCGCCAGCTTTCCTAACTAGTGTCTAGAAACTGCCAGTGGCGGGTGATCAGTTGCTGCATGTGGTGAGGCTGCTGACGCCTGCTTCTGCTGATGCTGTGTCCGCCCACGCCTATTTCTGCTGGTAGCGTGCTCTTCCACGCCCGCTCCTGCTGGTAGTGTGTTCTACGCCTTCTGCTGGTGGTCCCTCCCACACCTGTTTCTGGTGGTGGTGCATTTTCCAACGCATGCACCTACTAGTGCTGACTCACCAGTGCTACGGAGAGGGAAGCAGGCGCTGTGTGGTAGAGGGACCTACTTGTGTACAGAGGTGGAGCAGCTACCAGACACGGCACCATCTCTCAGGCGCCCTCACACACGCCACAAAGAGAGTGGGGGGAGCCGCCCTGTAGTGAAGGCGGCGCTGACGTAGATGCAGCTGGTATACAGGTGGGGCAGAGAGCGCCCCACCACATGCCCCCCACCGCCGCTGCTTAGAGGTGAAGGCCTCGCGCTGGCTAGTATGATAGGTAGTACTGGCACCCTTGTCCGCCCTCCCACGCCTGCGTAACGCCCAACCCCGCCCTCGTGTGTGCTCGCAGCCCGTAGCTAGGACCACTGGCTCCTTAGGATTAACTCAAGGGACAGCAGATAAAGAAAACCCTGTGTCTTATTTACATTGTGTTTATTTAGGTCTCCCCCTCTAAGTTACAAACTACCTGCCCTCTCACTCCATCTGGAAATCGAATCCGGGTGCTGTAGGCTTCGAACCGAGTGCACAGTTATAGATGAAGGCTTTCTTGAGATTTACCTGGTAGGCTTAATACATAATATAACTCAAAGTCAGTGTGGCTTATTTCCCTTGGGGGTCCTTCTTGTCTAGGATGCGGCCCACTACGAGCCACTAACATCCAGGTACCTATTTACTTTTAGGTAAACAGGGACAACAGGTGTAAGGACTCGTGTCATTCTTCCCACTCTGCCTAGGAGTCGAACCCGGGTTCTTTTCGGTTGTGAGCCGAAGGCTATACCACTGAGCTACACTGGTAGGGTCTGGAACCCTTGTGGGTCATCAGCGCACTGAGTGCGAGAGACACGCTACTTATTTGTACTTGTGTAAGTGTCGTGGGGCGGGGAGAGTCACTGAAGAATATAAAGAAGGAGCACTGCAGCAGGCCTACTGGCCCATGCTAGGCAGGTCCAAGACACCTACTGGCACTTAGTGTCTTTCTTAAGTTTGGGCAAGCTTGAGTGCCGTGTCCACGGGCAGACCAGCCCAAGTGGCCAAGGAGAGTGCCACTCCCTGTAGTGCCAGCAGCCACACCCCTCACATGGGTCTGGACACCCGTGGGCGGCTCTCCACGCCCACCTGCACCACCATAGCTCGCCCTACCTCTCTCTGCACCCACCCGGCCTGCCTCGCCGTCCACCGCCCGCCCACAATGGTCATGCTGGCCTGGACGGGCCGCCCGCGCCCCACTCAAACTTACACCCACGCCCTCACAGGTCAAATGCTCACTATATTGTTTTTGGTGTCACTACACCTAACATTGTGTACTGGTGATGTGTCTTGATTCTAACCTGTCCTCCCTGCTTCCTTCCTCCCTGTTTCCTCCCTGTCCTCCCTGCTTCATTCCTCTCTCCTCCCTGTTCTCTCTCCTCCCTACCTTCCTCCTCCCCGTCCTTCCTGCTTCCTACCTTCCTGCCCTCCCTGCTTCCTACCTTCGCCCTTCCCTCTTCCTTTCTCCTTGCCTTCTCTGCTTCCTTCCCATCTCTCTGTCCTCCCTGCTTCCTATGTGCTTTCTTCCCAGCTCCTTTACCTCCCCGCTTCGTTCCTCCCACCTCCCTGTCCTTCCTGCTTCCTTCCACTTCCCTGCTTCCTACTTCTCTCTGCCCTTCCTACTTACATCATTCCTTCCCCTTACCTTGTATTCACCTATGCTCCACTGACAATGATACAAGTTTTAACTGTAGTATCATGAGCTCCATGCTTTTTGCATTATATTTTTTGCCTACCGAGGTGTCTGTCGAGACCTCATTGACTTTTTAGGAAAGAATATCAGTGTGGAAGATTTATTTATACTTTTAAATAGATGCAGAGATATTTTCCTAATATTGTTAAATTTTCTTTTAATATTTATATTTGTTTTTTACTTTGGTGAATTTTACCGTAGATGATTTTTTTTATTTATAGGGTGTGCCTTTTTTGTTTTTTTATTATGGGTATATTTGTGTGCAGTTGTATTGTGTGGTATATTACAAATGTTTTACAATACCGAGTAGTGCAACACCTGGGTGTCTTCAGGTATGAACACCTATCAAGGGTGAGGGACTGATCACCTTCTTTCAGTGCTGAGGGACTGATTACCCATCCACTTGTACTGTCTCCAGTGTTATAATCACCTATATTCGACTACAGAAGGCTACAGGGCAGACAGTAAACATACGTCTGTGTCGCACATGTGTATTAATAATTATATTGTGATATAAACTCAAATTAAGTTGTAATAAACGACTGTCATTGGATAAACAGAAGGGTGGACGAGGGGCTCGAACCGTGGTAGAGCATCGTATTGTCGTTTTACGGGAGTCGTCCCCCATACATCCTCTTGTTTATCCACATTGTGGTATATGCACCTTACTGTTTATGAGCACTTAGTGACCCTTAGTGTCGTTAAGTGTTCGGTAAATCGTACAGTAGTAATCAAACAAACGTAACATGGCAATTATCAAAATTTAGGTCAAACTACGATATGTTATAAATGACTTTACATACCAAATATAGATATCACTGGAAATTTTCGTAGGAGTTTCCGTACCTCTAGAAAGCGGATCCATTTAAAGGGGCCATTTAAAAGGTGACATCTGTAATTTATCCAAAGGAAGACGGCCATAGTTTATCCCACAAGATTCTAAGGCAGACGCTAGTCTAACCATCAGAAAACAAGCAGGAAAAACAGACCCTAATACCTCGGTGTGGAACTACACTTCAGACAATCCAACGCATTCATATAAGAATCCGATTTTTGGCTATATACAATTGCCTAAACTTCAGATGATTCTAATTTGAACAGGTCACCACTGTTATTTTGTAATGAACCCATATAATGTTTTATAATTGTCGAGTCGACAATATACCGTTCAAGTCAAGAGGAACAAGTGACAATGATTCTGGCTTCCAATCAACTTGCCGAGTTACTGCAAACTCTAATGTGGCTGAAAATCGCGTTTGTTTCCTGGACAGTCCGTATCAAATAATGGTGTGATATCCTAACATCTAGAGATTTGCCAGTTTTATGGGATAGATAAACTATGGTCATCTTCCTTTGGTTAGATTACAGATGTCTCCCTTTAAATGGGTCTCTTTGACTGGTTCTGTTTTTTAGAGGTGCAGAAATTCCTAAGACAATTGCCACTGATCAAACCTGATTACCTTTCATTCTTTCGGCTCCATAATTCTTTGAAAATAATAAACTAGTGGAGAAAACTGGTATGAATAAAACAGACGTGTTTACCTCAATGTATTTACAATGAGGTTTTTATCTCGACATATACAAACAGGTGTTTGTTTGTATATATCCACTGAGATGTTTATCTTCCGGTGTATATACGCTGAGGTGTTTATTTCTTAGTGTACACACGTTATTTTTCAGTGTATACGAGGAGGTGTTCATCTCAGTGTTTATTCACTGAGGTATCTATTGAAACAGCCTCCCAGCATACATAAGGTGGATTACTAGTAGACCACAGGCTGTCTTCAAGAGATACCTAAATTCAGTGCCCGATCAGCCGGACTGTGGTTCGTACATTGGATTGTGTGCGGCCAACAGTAACAGTTTGGTTGATCAGACAGTGATCCACCGGGAGACCTGGTCAAGGACTGGGCCACGGGGACGCTGACCCCCCGAAACGACCGCCAGGTATACATTGGTGTTTATCTTAGTTTATATACACTGCGAGGTGTGTGTAGGAACTAAGAGGTATTTATATGAGTATATGTGTACCG